TATAGACACGAACTTTACTCTCTAGCTTTCTCCAGTCTCTTAAAATATTGACCCAAAAATTGAAAGTAAGAAAAAGATACGTACCTCATTAGTGTGTTCATGTTAATCAAACTTCAACATAAATTTATAGACACGAACTTTACTCTCTAGCTTTCTCCAGTCTCTTAAAATATTGACCCAAAAATTGAAAGTAAGAAAAAGATACATATCTTATTACAGTGTTCATGTTAATCAAACTTCAACATAAATTTATAGACACGAACTTTACTCTCGAGCTTTCTCCAGTTTCTTAAAATATTGACCCAAAAATTGAATGTAAAAAAAAAGATACATATCTTATTACAGTGTTCATGTTAATCAAACCTCAACGTTTTTTTAAATACTTGTTTTAGGTAACAGAAAAGAGCCCCCGAGAGCATTGTCTACTGCGACAATAATATAGTAACTTTAATTAACTTTTTTTCAGTTTCACTATTTTACTTCTGGAGCTGCATCAAATGCTACGATTTTACACCTAACCACTCTTAAAATGAATTTATACCTATTTATCCTTCCTGATGATAAACTATTCATTTTCCACACTAATGTTTCTTTATACATGCTTGTTTGTTTGTTGAATTTCGCACAAAGCTACACGAGGGCTATCTGCGCTAGCCGTCCCTAATTTAGCAGTGTAAGACTAGAGGGAAGGCAGCTAGTCATCACCACCCACCGCCAACTCTTGGGCTACTCTTCTTTATACATGCATGGATTATTGTCGTAGATGTTTACATGTAGTATTCTTGACCACCCAGGAACCATGAATGGATCACACTACTACTACTAGGCATGATATGAGTGTTCGTACCTTGGTAAGCACATTCTGATTGGTTGGTTGACAACCGATGACACAAGCAGTACATACACAGGAATAACAAACAACGAGTGATGTCAACTTGATGGTGAATTTATTACTGGTACAAAATATTATCACACAACACACAAAAGAAAAGAAAAGAAGTTCCACAATGCATTACTATTTTGTATATGAGCCCTTTGTTTTATATAAAGCATACTACCTTGTTTTATGCTACCATAGGTTTATCAGTGTATTATTGTGGAATATTGTTCCAAAATTCCTATATTACTCTCCATAATAGCTTCATACAGCCGTCAAAATGTTAATGTTGGGATTTTCTGTAGGCTAAGCCATGGTTGTAAGTTTCCCATCGGCTTCTTTAATGTTAAGATGTTTGCTGGAAGATGAGCCCCTCCCACTATTCTAGCCATGTTCCTGTGAGAATGCATGACGTATCACAATCTTCTAGTACTTATCAACAGTCACGGTGCCATCAGTTTTGTGTAGATCATTGTTGGCTGAAATGCAGTCCCAACATTATACTAATCTCCAACTATACTTTTCTGTAGATCTTTTATATCGACTGTGATACTGTTCTCCTCCCCACCCTCGAACAAACTGTCTATGATTGTTGCAGAACAATTATCTTTTTCATATATCTGTAAAGAGCACATGTCTTCATTTAGGCCCATTCCATTGTTTGAGGTCCAATGTCCATTTTAGTTTTTTTTTATGTTTTGTTGCCCTTTTTCAACTGCAGTTTTCAAGCAGCTATACGTCCGTTGAAACCGATTCTTACTAATGTATATTTTACTGCTCTCAAGATAACATTAACAGCCGTATTCACAGCAAGGTCATTGGTAAAATACGTGTATAATCCATAGTCTTCTATCTCGTAAAGAACATACGCTAAGATATTTAACATCACATTTGGAGAATTTTGGTTTTGTACCTCAATCACTTCTAATATAAATAGTTTCAGTTGCACGTATCCTCTTTAGAGTCTTTCACAAAGCTCCTTTTGAAACATGGAGTCTTTACCATGTTTTTACCACTTAGGAACCATGACTGAATCACACTACTACTGCTAAGCATGACCTGAGTGATCGTACCTTGATAAGCACATTCTGATTCGTTGGATGACAACCGATGATATTGTAAACCATGAACACGTGACTATGCTCTAGTGAAGCTCATTTTTATATTTTCGAATTTGCCTTTTATACCCGTTTTTTCTCACCGTTTCCATAATTATTTTCAACACTATACATAAATGTATGTATATCTAATGGATATGTCATATTTAATAGATGTAACTAAATCATTTTATGATATTGCAGAATCTGTTATACATAAACCAAAATGAACTTTATCATTACAAAATATTTCCATTGCTATAATTATAAAATATCAACAATTCAAAGTAAAAATTTACAAGCTGTTTTTTAGAACATAAATCTGGCTAGAAAACTTATTCATTTAGTATATTTTGTATATATGTGTGTAGTTCAATAAGCATACGAAATTACATGGATTTGAGCTTAAGCTTAAGCTAAAGTATATCAGCTCTTGAATTTTTTTCCCCTTCTGGTTAATGGCTATTTTATATAATCATATCATATAAGAAAACTGCACTTTCAAAGAAGTGCTATACATCACACAAAGGTTCATGGTTCGCATCTTGTTACTGCAAAAACATAAATCGCGTTATTCACTTTGAGTCCATCGGTGCGGTATAAGAGTGACGGTCAGATACCATTATTCCATTAGAGTAGCCCAAGAGCTGGTGGTGGATGCTGTTGCCTGGATGCCATCCCTCTAGTCTATAATTTCTTCAAAATAAGAAATGACTAGATGCAGGCGAATATCGGTTAACAAACAAATACATCAGATATTTTTGAAGAGTGAACCATTTTTTTTGTCACACCCAGTGAACGTTATTTTAGACCAAATGAAAGCGAGTTTATTCGTGCACATTCAAAAAAACTTTGTCACCAAAAAAACAAGTAAGTTTGGTTTCGTTTTTACATAATATGCTAACTTTTACATACTTTAAAATGCTTCAAAGTGACAATTTTATTTCTGTTTCTACGATGTTGCCCCCCTGGTAACGTCCATATAACCAAAGGATGAATGCTATTTTCTATCATATCAATAGTTTACCACGTAAACCAGAACCAGAAACTACCTTGATAATGTTACTAATAAGAAATAACTCTTCTGTAAACAGTGAACACATTGAATAATTTGTTTGCAATAACAAAAAGAAACGCAAAACAAATTATTTCCCGGAAACATAGAATAAACTCTTTTAATTCCAAAAGTGCGGCTTTTATGAAGAGATAGGCGTTCCCAATGTTTTATTAATTGAAAATTTTCTTTCGGCTACGTCATAAATTACTATTGATTTCTTAGCTTGCTCAGAAGTATACATGTATACGTAATGTCGAGAAGTAATTGTCTGGGTACAGAAATGATTGTTCTAAGTCTCCTCTTAAAATTACATAATTATCTTATATCCAGTGGTTTTTTCCCAATGTATTGAAACTTTTATTTTTCAGTAATTCATATAATACACCACTTCCTTCAACTATTATAATGAAAAACCAAAAACTAATTTATACAAATAACTACATTTACGAGTAATGCAAAACAAACATTGTGCAAAATTAGAGCAAAAGACAGTAACGAGAAACCATTGCTGCAAGAGCTTTGAGTATCAACATGTTTGCCAGAAAACAAATATACATTTCAGAAAAAAAAATGAATCCAACATACTGTTAAAAGAAACTTAAGTATCCGTAACTACTGTTTACATGAGAAAGCAACGACTAGGTTTATGTCTGTTCTAGAAGGTTCCACATTTCGTTTCGCTACGTCCTCGTACTCCAGATCGTTATTTTGAACAGTTTGTACACAAGTCAGTAAATTATGTCTCAAATAATTCACGCAGCACGGTCTTATTTCCATAGCTCCTTTTACTTGTACCCCACACATGACTTTGTTTTGCAATTTGAGAGTCTTTCAAAAATAACTCTAAAATCATAGTCTTCTAGTAGTAATAATGTAGAAAAAACTTCTAGTTTAAAAGGGGAAATATTTAAATATTTGTCGTGAAGATAGTATTATTATACTTCACAAACCGTATATATACATCAGTGTCAACTGTTGAAACACATAGTTTTGGTTCTACAGGTTGCAGCTTGTTTAGGATATCGATTAAAGGTGTAGTTCTCATTTTATATGTATGAAACCTCCTACAGGGCTGTATTAATAAGTAAAGTTCTCTACTTAAGTTGTCGTTTACAGTAAATAACTATACGTCACATATTATACATTACACAGCGTTAATTGCTCTTAATATTTAGTGTTGCATCATCCAATGTATTTCAATAAACAGATTACTTCACACATAAAAAAATTGCATTATCAGTTATTTACTGAGATCTGATGCTACGTAAAATAACCAAACTAATCGTTTGTACATTTAGCGATCATTTAGGTGAAATAATAAATATTTTTGAAAGAAAAATAACTCTTTGCTTTAAGTAATTCTATCAGAATATTCTTATTTCATTTTATTATTTTAAGTATAAATAAAAAAAAAAATTTAAATGCAAAGCTTTTGTCAGGTACCAAAAAAGTATAAACTTAACAGATCTCAAACTATCTGGAAGAATGTAAAATATATCAGTTTGAAAGTTATTAATTTGAGCATAATATTTTTGAGAAAAATATATTTATTTATCTTTAAAAAATAGCGTAAATAATTTCAAATGTTCATCCAATGTCTTTAACTCTTGTTTCTTGTCAAGAAATATATATCAAAAATAATATCTTTCACTTTTTGTGTGTAATCTAAAAAAAAAAAAGATTGCTTACAATAAATTAAAAACTTCTGACTTAATTTTGCAATTAGTGTAATAACATTTGGTAATAATAACAAAGGTCCAATGTTGGGGGGGGGGGGACCTTACCTCCGATAGTCCGCGTCAAGTCATACCAACATCCCCCTCTTTCTTTCTCAGGAATCACATCAGCTTCGTTCAGCTCATCGTAGCAGGGGTCTCCTGACCCCAAAGCCTCAAAATCTTCATCTCCTATATCCCATGCATTTTTGCTGCTCATGGGTTGTTTAGGAGGAAATTTCCTCGATATTATTTTACCTAAGTTGTTCATTATGTGAAAGAAGCTTAAGGAACGTCTTATTGTTTTTATTTGGTTAAATGTAACAATTACAGGGTACAGCTATTTCTAGTCTGACCACGTCTGGTAGCAACGTTTCGAACAACAGAGTTAAAATGCCATGGATACCACAACACAATCTTTCGTATCATATGGAAAATGACTCGATTGGCTCGTGGTAGTCCACGCAATGTACACGTCTGTTACAATCATATCAGCTAGCGTTGTTGACATACCTAGTGATGTGTACGAAAAGAAAGAAACAATTTGAATATAAATGGAAAAGTTTTCATTCGCTATATAAATCGTTGACTAAAATATTATTCTAATGCATTTTTTTCTTTATTTTTATCCTTTGTTTGTTTTAGCGCAAAACTATATAATAGGTTATATGTGCTCTGTCCACTGCGGGTAATCGAACACCGCGTTTTAGCTTAGTGTTATAAGTCCATAATCTTACCGCTGACTCACCGGGGGCCTTTTTATCCTTCAATTTTAACTGATGATTGCGCATAGTGTTTTCTGTGTTTATTTCCTCCTCTACTGTCTAGTAGAATTGTTTGGCAATCAGCAAGTATTTTTCCTCGCCTGAGGATGAGAATTTTAACATATTTACTTTCTTTAACAAAGAATAAAAAAAGAAAGTTAAAAATTATAAGAAAATCTTCTTCAACTTATTTTTTTCGGAAATATTATTATTATTAAAGTGCTGAGTTTTATGTGTATTATAAATATTTATACCAAACAATTTTTTTTCGAAGTTTAATACGTATGACCCAGATAAATATGTGAATATGCTTAAATCAAAGTCTACAATCCAAGGTTATTTTTCTTTTCGTATATCAAAACTTTCTACCGTATAAGCGTGTCAAGAAACAACATTACATGAAACTTTTTTATTCATTTATTTACGATAATCACAAAGAGAAATATTTCTCTTATACAAAATTTATCAAATCGTTCAACAATAAGTAATTCTACGAAATGGAAAGTTAATTACAATTCCTACATAATACCAAAACTAACACTTTAATTAGGTTATTTCGTTTCCAACTTTGAGCATGAACCGTCCATCAATTTTGATTTTAAAAATATAGTAAAATCCAAAAGTCAGACTTTCAGTACTACCAGTTGAACTTACAATAACATGATTCTTTGGAGCTGTACAATAATATATCACAAGGTGATATTCTTGGGCAATTAGTACAGTAAGATTATGAATCATGTTATTATCCGATGCAGAAGTTTATTAAACTTTTCTCAATAAACCTAAAATACGTTGGGGTTGTTTGTTTATTTTCCCATTCTGATATGTGATTGTCAGTTCAAATATGGTAAGTAAGACGTAAAGAATTTTCGCATACTTTTTTGATATCATTTTTGTTTTCCTTAATGTAGCCTTACAGATCTGTCCTGTTTCATCTTGGTAAACGTTTGGATTGTCAACACAATACATGCTATAAATATTGCCAATTGACGTTGCAAAAGAAATTGAACATTTAAGTGTAATAAAAATATTCCACTGAGTTTCAAAGGATCTATACACAGTTTTGATACTTTTTAACCTAAACAAGGTTATTTTCTATTAAATCATTGAGACAACACTTTTTAAAATTAATTAATGTGTTAGTTTATAACACAGTGAATACTAGATGTACTTCTGCAGGGTCCCAGAAAGTGTTTTGTTTCAAGAGTAAATAAAACCAAAATTAAGAGTAACACATATTTTTTCATCTCTTGCTTTCCAAGTTCAAATGTCATGCTGTGTTGTAGCCTACAGAGTGCATAATTTACGGTGAATCTTGTCATGTGCACGTTTTACTGAAGTTACGACAGTACAAGTTACAACATTAAGCGTCCCATATGGGAAGCCATTTCAGTGTCTACTGACTGACTGACTGACAGACAACACACTACTGTATTGTGGTGCGAATGGTTAAAACAGGTGACCCCTAGAGGCGGTCTTCGGTCCCCTTTCGGGGAAATAACGAGATAAGCATAGAAAAAATACGGTATTTTCAAATTATAGTATATACAAACCTTTTACTTATGTACCTTAGAAAAATACGATATTTCCAAATTATAGTGTACATAAACATTTTACTTATGTACCTTAAAAAAATACGATATTTTCAAATTATAGTGTACATAAACGTTTTACTTATGTACCTTAAAAAATACGATATTTTCAAATTATAGTGTACATAAACGTTTTACTTATGTACCTTAAAAAATACGATATTTCCAAATTATAGTGTACATAAACATTTTACTTATGTACCTTAAAAAAATACGATATTTCCAAATTATAGTGTACATAAACGTTTTACTTATGTACCTTAAAAAATACGATATTTCCAAATTATAGTGTACATAAACGTTTTACTTATGTACCTTAAAAAATACGATATTTCCAAATTATAGTGTACATAAACATTTTACTTATGTACTAAAGAAGATGTGTAGGCTCAATAAAAAAAACTATAATACAAAACATTGATTTGTTAGAGTTATAACTACTGTACCACATCACACAACTCACTATCCCTTTGGTTACGAGTGGGTCAAAGTGCGCGTGTCACGACCTTTTTACATTCAAAACTTAATTGAATTACTTTATTATCAATATATATCATTAAGCTTGGCATCAAAACGTGGTTCATAATTCAAATCATTATGGCTCTAATATTTTACACCAATCAACATAAAAGTATTATCATAATTATTCGTGTTATGTCACTAAATGCGTAGTTAACATCGTTTAATTTTAATAATTTGTTTATGGTTGAAAAAAATATATCTATAAAAATGCTTGATTTGATCATAATTTTTTTACTTTCTCATTTTTCTTTAAAAATGAGTGATTAGAAATAATATATATATATATGTTTGTGTACGTATGGGGTGCAGGTGCATATGTGGACTAGTTTTACAAGGGTTACTTAGATAAAATCCAGGAGGCTAAATTTGCCTCCCCACTCAGTAAGAAACTGCCATGTAATGACAGATTAAATATATAATAACATGCAAAATTACACAATTATAAAAATATCTGTTAAAAAACAAACAAACATAATTTACAATTTATCTCTTCGATTTCGTCCTCTCTTTCGAACGTGATAGAAATTACTGCCTATTAAATCCACCAGAGGGCGGAATGTTCTCTAAGTCCATAATATCATCATCTGAATCCTCGTCCATAGTAGAGTTGAGATGGACAGTCACCGTAACAGACTCCATTGATTTTAGCTGCTCACGAGATGCATTTGTTAGAGGATTATCTTCAAAGTTTACCTCTCGTAAAGAGCGAACACCTTTTAGTTTCTCGACGTCAATACCTGTAAAACCGTAGCTGGTTGTTTAAAACACTAAATAATACAAATTATTCTCTATTCCTTTTAATATAAGCATATGTAGTAAAACGATAACTTTCAGAAAAAACGTTATAATCTTAAAATAAGTAGGTTGTTTACAAATATTTCATCCAAGCTCTAAACATAGGGAAGTGTTTTATTCTTATATATCCGAACATGGGGTCGATTTTACACACACAAAAATGCAATCAAACTTTTAAACAAAGGTTCATGTTCCTTCGTGTATACTTTTCTTTGCTAAAATTATGTATAATCTGTCAAGCTAAGTTGTGATGTTGAAGATTGATAGGGTTTCTTAATTATCCCAAAATAAAAACTAGAGGGGCGCTCAGTAGAACTTATATCTCCGCCACGCGGCGTTGACCACATTCGGCCCTAAGAAAATACGAAAATGTGTCCTTATGTCCGTAATTATCATCAGACATTGACTATTTTTGCAGGACACTGAGGAATAATATTCTAAACATGTCCACCAAGTTTCATCAAATTCCGATAATCTTTGACTGAGTTATAGAGCAAAACTAGTGTAAAAAAAATCAGTCCCCATGTTAACAGACAGCGATATTTTGTGTTTTTGTGACCTTGACCTTTGATGCTGACCCTACAAAAACTAATCACCTCTATGTTGAAACATAATTCAAATGCAAACCAATTATCGTCCAAATCCATTCAACCTTTTTCGAGAAATCTTGCTGACAAACACACAAACAAGCATATACACACACACACAAAGGAGTGAAAACATAACCTTAGTCCTCCTTCGGTGGCCCAGGTAATAAAACAAAAATCTGTCGCTGTTGTTGGTGCGAATATAGCTTATTGGAATATGTGAAACCAGCTAATATTAATGCACATGCAAATTTCAAAGACAATCTTTTGTTCAGTTGTTTCTTCCTTGAATACGTATTGTGTAGGGCACTCGACTCGCAATCTGATGGTCGCGGGTTCGAATCCCACCAAACATGCTCGCCCTTTCAACCGTGGGGGCATTATAATGTGACGGTCAATCCCACTATTCGTGGGTAAAAGTGTAGCACAAGTATTGGCGGTGGGTGATGTTGACTAGCTGCCTTCCCTCTATTGTATCACTGCTAAATCAGAAATGGCTAGAGCAGATAGCCCTCGGGTAGCTTTGAATGATATTCAAAATAAAATAAACCGAGAAACGAGACTACAATGAACCTCAAAACAAAATGAGTGTATAAACTGTTATTTTTATTTTTTATTTTTGTAAACACCACTTGATAGGTATCATATGTATCTAAACGTTCGTGAATTATGCTTAATTTACTGAATAACAAAATGCATAACATTTGTACGGAAAGACTCGAACGCTTTTGAAGGTATATAAAACAATGTAAAGCCATTTCAATCACGAGTTTTCTATTGTGGTAGTTTGAGTTATTCAAAAATGCCTTACTAGCAATAGTTACCAGAGTTAATCCCTTAGCTCAGTTTACAGAGTAATCGTTTAGCGTGCGAGAGGGCCAAGTTCACTATGTTCGGGAAGCCAAAAAAAGTTGGATTATCACAGAGGAACAGACGCATGTAAAACCGTCCCACAGCTCTGAGATAGGGCCAGAGGACGGTCATTGTTTAGAATAGATGAAGAATGTGGCAGGTTGAATTGTTAGTGAAAGTTCCTCCTTCAACACTCTCCTATAGTGAGTGTGATACGGTACTGGTTTCGATTCCATACATTAGCGGGTGAGAAACTGGCGCTCAGTTAATTAATTAGTAGTCCAACGACCCTGAAATAAGGCCCAGGGAAGAGATTTGTTTGTAAAAGCGGAAGAATGGAATAACTTGGGTTTGAAAAAAAAAAAGCTTTACTAGCAATAGATCCCTGTGATACAAATAGCCCATTGTACAGTTTTACGGACAACAGCAAACAAACAAGTGTGTAAAATAACATTGTAGAAAGCGTATTGTAATATTTAGCTAGAATTAAAAAGTAAAAAATAAAACAGCTGAGCACACTGGCTAATAAAATAGTTTTTGACTAATGAAAGTTGCTCTGAAAACTATTTTATGTAATAAATAAATCCACAACTTGACATTTCTCTGCAAACCATTAAGAGTCCGAGAACCAAGTTAAAGTTCGGTTACATGAGAATAACACTTTTGTTAGGAACATTAAACCATACAGTGAATGCTGAAGACTATTCAAAATTATTATTATCTTCTGCTTACTTGTGAAGTGGTTTTTCTGTGCATTCAAAAAGATGAGATTTGGGAGTTTGAAGACCACCTTGGGAAATAGCATATAGTCGTTTTGGGAAATATCTAGTCTCTTGAGATCGCTGAGATCACGCAGTTCCTCCGGAAGAGAGCTAAGTCTATTGTTTGCCAAATTGAGCTCTGAAAATAAACGAAAAAACATTAGACTGTCACAATAACTTTAGTTTAACACACTAACAGACAGACGCACAGGTAGACAAACAGATGTTTTAGCACCACTTTGAGCTACATTTGTATAAGATTTCCGTCTATTGCACTAAAATATAGTCTCACCTGTAATATACGTGAACTTGATGGCAAATTTAGGAGGAATCTTTCTTAGCACATTGGAAGAGAGATCACAAGCGAGAATGACGGTATTTCTCATTAAATGGTAAACAGCGTCTGGAATAGACATAAGCTGACATTCCGAAAGATCTGGAATTGATACAAAAAGTGCCAATTAACATATAGAAATATTTTGCCAGAAAACAAGAAAACGTAATAAAATATGCAATGTCAAGTGGCAATCTTTGTAAGAAAAGTAAAAAGTTGGCTAAAATAAATGCACGTTAAATGTAAACAAATATCATTTGTAAGATACCAAAAAAATCACAGATTTTTATTTTGAATGCGAGAGTCTATGTCTTTTTTTATATAATAATTAGGAAGCGTAATAGTTATGACAAAATTATGACATTATTTCTCGATTAACGAGCAAAGCAAACCATTTCACAACAATAATCCAACTTCGTACTTAAGTGGAAAAAATAATACAAAAACAGCATTCTAAGTTCTCAGTTAATAATGAATATTAGATAACCAAGTTTATCAATCGAACAGATGAAAGCTGTGAAGAAATATTAAAATTATATCAATATTTCACACCATTTCAATGCCACACTAACTTGGCAAATAGAGTATACCAGCACTTACTGCTAGCCAAACATATGTAATAAATAACAATTGAAAATAAAGCAAAAATTGTCATAAAACATCTTTCAAATCATTTTCAATCACACCTAGAAAGCGTAATGTTTTACTGCGATATGTAACATAAATTTAAAAATTATTAACATAATAAAACACGAAGGGAAAAAAACGAACAACTGATTCTGTTGAAATTTGCAAAATGTTCATATGTGGAACGGAAATAGAAACTCAATGTCAAAATTCATCTGTTTTAAACTGGGGTGACTATGAACTGCGTAGTTTCTTTAATTAACTGAAGTTTTTCAGTATTCCATTAAACAAAGTTTTGGCAACTAGCCTTTTGGATTCTGTTCAACTTAGCTGACTCATAAGCATGTGGTAATGGTTTCACCGGATGTGTGTATTTTGTAACATTTTTCTTTTTTCATTAATATTTTAATAATTTTACAGTTATTAAGTTTCTTTGCGATTTTATTTTAAAATGTTGATGTTTAGAGCCCAATTATCATCAATATCTAAATCTGAGAGCAGTTGTTATATTTCTTCAAAGTAGCCCCCCCCCCAGTGGCACAGCGGTATGTCTGCGGACTTACAAAGCTAGAATCCGGGTTTCGATACCCCTGGTGGGCAGAGCACAGATAGCCCATTGTGTAGCTTTGCGCTTAATTACAAACAATCTTCAAAAGTATATTTACGTGCAACGAATAACCACTGATAAAATTCTGAAAAAAAGACAACTCGTATATTAATTAAAATAATTTTGTTATTATCAATATTAATTTCAAAAACAAGTCGCTTTGAGAGGTATATATATATAGATATAGCTTAGATGATCAAATGATTAATTTTTTTTATGAATTATTTATAAAGGGGTTGGCCAGAATTAACAAAATGTCGTCGCTTGGCAAATTGTCCAAGTTCTTGGCTGACGGCATTGTCGCCATGGGGTATTAGGGTGTCCGCCAACAAATAGACGTTTACTAGAGGATGTTGTAACTGTTTATGTTAATCTCATCTGGCTGAATGTTTAACAGTTTAAACACCGATGTTCCATTTTGTTATTGATATTGTTTTCGGAAATGAAACCATTCTTTTTTAAAAGGTACAATTTAAAGTATGTACCCACGTTTTCTCTCATTTCTTTAAAACCAAAAGAATACAAATTAATTTTAGAATAGTTTATGCCCATTATTTTGTTCTCAGCTGTAAACCTCCCAGTGTTTAAGAATAACTTTGAGTAACAAAGTGTTTTTTGTTTATTTCTTGCTAAGCATAAAGCTACACAATAGTATCTGTGTTCTGGTCACCTCGAGTATCGAAACGCAATTTTTGACGTTATAAGCCCCCGGGGAGTTTGACAAAATTACCATTGCAAATATTATTTTTTCTCACGACAAAAAAAAAATTCAACATCCGAATAAAAAAATAATCTATCTAGGATACTGTTGATTGAGAAATGTTATTATATATGTTGATCTATAAATATAGATAAATAGTATTCGTCTCAAAATTTTCTACAGTTTTTCTGAACAGAATTAAATTGTTTAAATGCACACAAATACAAACATCGTCTTTCTATGAAGTCTTTCAGATGTTCTATTCAAATGTATACAACATTTTTTTTCCTTACACAAGTCATGTGATAATTTGAGTGAATAATCATAAAAGCAAAGCCCTTCTAGCCCCCCCCCCAGTGGCACAGCGGTATGTCTGCGGACTTACAACGCTAGAATCCGGGTTTCGATACTCGTGGTGGACAGAGCACAGATAGCCCATTGTGTAGCTTTGTGCTTGATTACCAACAAACAAACTTAAGTCTAGGACAACACATAGCGTGTTCCAAAGTCGATCAGTTTTTCAATGACAAACTGCTTTGTGTGCTACTGTTATGCGTATTGAACAGTGAGGTTTAAAAACTGAAATCAAACTCTCTTTCACATTTTCTTAAAATTTAATATATAACTAAATCTTCCCTTTCGTCCTACGTAGATATGCACAAATAAACAGATGTTACACGTTTATAATTCACATTCTTGTAATAAACTATCCTCTCCTCTTTCCGTTATAGCAGTCATAGGGTGTGTTCTTATTGAGAACTATATAACCCTGGTGTTTCACTTTTTAATATAGACAACTGCTCATTTCCAGTTTTCTGTTCGATGCTTTACGCCTTACGTTCTGACTGGGCAATATTCGATGTAAACAGAACTTGTTACTATAGGCAGGTTCTCCTCAATCCCTGCTGCTCAGAATAAAAATCCATGTTAAATATAGCTTTTTTGGTTTATTTCTTTACTTTTGACATTTAGTAATTACGAATTAAACTAAGCTGATTATATTATCTTGATAACAAATGTCGTCACTTAAATTCAATGCTGAGATGAAAACTCAAATAATAATTTCGGACTCGATGACATTAAACCATCTGCTCAGATTTTACCATGTATATTACAATAATAACGAATAGCTTCACTTACCAAGATTTTGCTCCTCTTTAGCACACTGGCATCTGTTGACAACTTTAGTTACAGCTTTTCCAACCATAACCCTAATAGGATTTATTGGGATAGAAGCTACTGTTGGTCCAGTAGACATCGTGTAGAAGAACTAATAATTTACTTTGTTGTAGTTGGGTGATTATCTTTTAATTCCTTTGTCAAAACTTAAGTTTCTAGAATCTGAAAAGCTATAGTTTGATTTTAAAACAACACATGCCAACAAAAAAATTAAAGTTTTTATTATTTATAACTAAATATTGTTTTAGGATATATCAAAATGTAATTGATAAGTCAAACTTAAACTATCTTTAACTTTTGCTAGATCGTAGGCAGCTTAACAAAATATGAACCTGGTGGCATTAACGTGCATTGAAGATGGTGGCCAAACTACGTCGCAAACTTTAGTCTATTGGATAAAAATCGTGAACTGCCGCCCTGTTATACTCTGTGGAAATTGTTTATTTTGGGCAGCCTTTGGCGCAACACTGTCTCTTCCAAGAGAGACAAAAATAGCTCATCAGCTGTTTGGTAGATTTCGAAATACTTTATGCTCTTAGAAACAGTGAACAGCTAGAAATTAGATAATTATGCCAAAAAAGCATTATAAGCAATAAATAATAAATTAATACAGTGGTTCCTTAACCTCTAGCTTTGAGGCAATATATTCGTTCCAGCTTTAATGTTATGTTATTATTTATTTTTATATTTAAAATTTATATTCGTGGTAAGGAAAACAGAGTTGTTTTGTAAACATAAGTAACTGTTTTGGCTTAACGCCCTCTTCGTTTTTGTGTAATTGGTTTGCCAACTAAAATGTTCTGGGGTCGGGTATAAATGACGTAGCGTTTTTGTTTTTTTTCAGCCAACAAAGCTAGGATGTTAACCTGACATCGGAATTGGTGCTAAAAATACAATAGCTCATGAAGGCACACACTCCAGTGCCTGTGAAACACCTAGCAACAGGTAAGTAGGAATAACAGTTATTTAACGTGGAGTTTACGGGTTCTATTCCCAAATAAAACTGGAACGCTTTTTCTTACGACCAATTTTCAACGTGGAAACTAGACATAAAAACAAAAATTCATATAAAAGAAGATATGAAGCAGAATTTAGTTTATATTGGAACTTTAGAACAATATAAAGCATAGTTTTATGTTCAAGAAAATAATAAACAAAACAACGAAATCCAGGAATTGCGCTTTCCCTATATACAGTATTTTTTTAAACGATGTTTTGAAAGTATAGCGAAGTAGCTGTAGTTTTGTGGTTTGTTTATTGTTAAGTGCAAAGCTACCCAATGGGTTAGCTGTGCTGTGTCCACCTCAGGTATCGAAAGCTGGTTTTTAGCGTTTTAAGCCTTCAGACTTACTGCTGAGCTACTGGAGAGGTAATGTAGACAAAACCTGAAAAAATAACATAAATATTAAAAAGTGTCGTTATGTTATCAACTGTGAATTGAGTTAAGAACTGAAACAGATCTATGTTACTCCTTTCCCTAAAAAAAAATACCAATTTATCATTATTTTACCATAACTTTTTTCTGGTAGAAAGCAATACTTGTTTATGTAGTTTAAATATTATTTCCCCAAAAGGGGGCCCAAGGCCCCTTGGAGGGGTCACCTGCTTTAACCACTCGCATAACTATACGGCAGTGTGATGTCTGTCAGTCAGTCAGTAGACACTGAAATGACGTCACATAAGGGCCGCTTAACGTTGCAATTTATACTGTTCTCGCGTCAGTAAAACATGCGCAAGACATGAATCACGAGAAGAATTGTGCACTCTGTAGGCTACAACACGGTAAGACATATGAACTTCAAAAGCAAAAAATAAAAATATTTGTTACTCTTAATTTTGGTTTTATTTACTCTTGAAACAGAACACTTTCGGGGGCTCTGCGGAAGTATATCTATTATAAATATGTTGATCTGAAGACTGTTTCGCGAGTGTTTTGAAATTAAACGCTATTGGTAATAGTCTTATAATTATTTTCTTATTTCTACTTGATTCAGTTGCCCCGTTTGGATAACTTTCGGTAAATGTTCGACGTTCTGAAAGTAACACATAAATTTTGGTAATAGATAAGATAAAAGTTGATGATGGTGCCAGATTAACCAGTAAAATGTCGACGTATTAAAACTATTTTCATAACCCTTTTTTTTTTAGTTGTTCCGTACCTTATTTACCAACTTTCAGTAAAATGTATATATTAATGCAAAAAGGTTTTGCTAAATGCTTTTTGTTATTTCCCGTCATAAGCACAATACTCTTGTGGAAAATAAAGCATCTTGGATCTTTCGTAAGTTCCTGAACCCAATAGAGAAAAAGTAATGGCCTAAAAAAATAAATGTCAGTTTGCCAAATGACTGAAAAACCCTGGGGAGGGGAAGGGGAGAACTATAAAGAAAATATTTCTCGAAATATTATATCCACATAGAAATTTTCAATAACAAAAACAACCAAGGCAGAGGATTTTTATAATAATAACAATAAGTTAATTAATTGTATTCGTTTTCTAAATAAATAGAGAACGTCCAATATACATATTGAAAATAATAATAGAAATGCTCAGATAATACAAATACGGGAGCCACACACAGTGAGTAATTGTAACTAAATGGTCAATATATCATTAGTACAATATATTATTACAGAAAGTACAAATGAAACGCAAACAAATATGTCTTACAATGCCCTGTATTCTGTATTTGCTCTAAATAAAGTAGCATACCTTATTTTCATGCTACTATATGCTTTAAAATGTATGATTACGAAGTGCTATTCAAAATGTTCTGTATTACTCCAAAATTCAGCCAAGTTGTTTGGTTACCGGTTGACCTTCTCAGATCCCACATAAACCCATATAGCTCTAACCATATTCATATCAGCACAAAGCCAAGCCACGTTAGAGAGTGTCCATCCGCCTCTCTTTCCATAAATATCGTTCACCACTTCTACTGTATTCTTTGGATCACAGTCTTGATAGAAAATGAATCTCTGTCCAACAGGTCTTGTTCCTGTGGGATCAAAATCTGCAAGCAGTGTCAGCAGTCAGGGTGTTATCAATTTTTCTGTAAATCTCTTACATTCATATCCGAGGTTCTACACTTGTATTGGTTCTTCAGCATGTTTCATGTAGATGTTGTACGTCGATTGTGATTCCATTCTCTGCCATACAACAAACTATCGTTGATTGTCTGGATTAATTTTAAAGAACATCCTCCTCCAGTTTTGCTCATCCAATTCTCTGAAGTCTGATGAGCATTTCAATCTTTTGGTTTGCTTATTTATCTTAAGCAGTGATTTTCAGCAATTATAAATTTACTGGGGCCACTTTGTGCTAAAGTTTATTTTACTGTTCTGGACGTAATATTTACACCTGCACTTACAGCTATGTTATAGGCAAACTCTCTACTGGACTGTGGTGAATCACGTAAAGAGCATACCGTGGGTTAGTTATCATCACCTTAATTTGTAGAGTTAGACTTTCTATCGTGAATATTTTTATAGCCAACAGTACTAGTTTCACGTATCCTCTTCATAATTTCCCTACAAGTCCTACTGAAACACTAAATTTCGCTTTAAACTATTGCACGGAGTAGCTTTCTCTAGTCAAAACGTCTGTCATGTGATATTTCTGTCCTGGAAGCCACACATTCAAACACCACATTACTGCTTTATTTACTACTTCTATAACTATTTTCAATATTGTATTTTTAAAGAGTTAGAACTTTTTCATGGATACAGTGTTATGGGTCAATATTTAGTTAACTTTACTGTCATCTTTCTAACTTGATCAAGTTCATATAAACGTATCTGGAGACAAAGACATGCATATTATATAATGTATTTTGTAACTGATATACAAGGTGATTGTACAAAAGATTTACACAGTGTAAAACAGTATTTACATACATTTATATTTACAGTATTTAGTATTACATACTAAAAGTTTTATATATTAAGACGGAGTGGTGACATTAAGAAGTACATCGTTATATATTAAGTAGTAGACTTAGCAAATCAAGAAGTAGCAATATATATAAAAACAATTTTGATATAGGAAGTGACAGCAATGAAAAATATTAAAGCGTATTTGTGGTATATGAACAGGTAGCAATGATGTACGTTAACACTTTGTTCTGATATGGCAAATAATAGCAGTGTTATATTCTAAGACACAGTCGTGATATTAAAGGCATTACATACCAAGACGTAAATGTAATGATAAGAAAAGTGTCATGTATAAAAGCGTAGTTGAGAAATATTAAGTAATAGTGTTTTATATTTAGAAATGTTTGTGACTGAATTAAATTACACGTGTTCGAACTGTGGTTTTCCAAGGTTCACTTAAAACCAGCAGATAAGTTACAAAACCACAACACTGGAAGATTCGATTTATATAAGGAGAAAGCAATAAGTCACACTAAACCACAAGTAAAAATTCGGGGCAGAAAAATTTCACAAGGAAACAGAAAAACTTTATTTCAACACAACAAAATGATGTAGCTTGAAATTTAACTTAAATTAAAACACTGTTCACTGTACTTTCAGCTTTTCTGACTAGGTAAAAGACTGGGTAAAACCTGAAGACGACTTCACTCAACCTGAACAGGGCAAATGTGACCAATAACTTCTAAGCGCCAGGATTCCGAGTCATATGTTTCATCTGATTTGTCCCATTAACAGAAAGAGACACCAAAGTTTCTAGCATCTCTATATCCTCGTATTACCAACGCACGAAGGAGTTGCTAAAAACTAGTTCTCTTGACCAAATATGAGAGCCTAAGGTCAATATTAATGTACTTCAAGGGTGGAGACATCTTTTTCGTCTAGAACCGGTAACTAATTACAGACATTTTTGCTGCTGTATTCAATTATACGAATAAAGATACGTTATTATCCTAAGCTACAAACAGGCTCAGTTTATTATATCCGTATATCCCAAGACTGTAGTATACAATCGTAAAAATTGTTTGTTTGTTTGAATTCATGCACAAAGCTACACAATGGGCTATCTGTGCTCTGCCCTCCCCGGGTATCGAAACCCGGTTTCTAGCGTAAAAATTGAAACTATCCTCCACATAATCATTACAAAAATGGTTATTTTAATATTTTACGTTATTTTGTAAAAATGTATCTTTTATTAAGTTCTTTTCATTACATACGGATATTCGGGATATATTTCAGATTATATCTTTATGTTATAAATCAAATTAGGTTTGTATTATAAAAATACAACACTTATCTTTTTGCTTTTATTTTATATATGATACCAAATTCGTTTCATTTTATTCACTGTCGATTTTTTTCTTTTTTTTTTTTTAGTTTCACTGTACCACGTCCAAAATGCGTTCGTCAAACAGTATGTTTATGCATAAATTAT